AGCTTCCTCTTTCCCTGCATCCCCATGGAAGTACTCTGTCACTTCCTTCACCAACGTTAACGCCCTTCTTTCATCTCCTTTTATGCTACCGATCTCTTCCTCTGCTTCTTTGAGGAACTTCTTCATGGATTCAAAGAACTTCTTCCCCTGTTTTGTTTCGGATTTCTCGTATTGCATAACCGACCGCACCTTCTCCAGACCCATCTCGAGCTTCGAGACGTAACTGCTCAGAACATCAAAGTCCATCCCCGCTGCCTTTTTCACATTGCCCAGATCTCTACTGAGTCCTGCCACTACTTGTAATCCTTGCTTTCTGAAATCGTCTTCTTTCACGTGTGACTCTTTGCTCTGGAGGAGGCTCTTGTTTGTGGAGTCGGGAGGCATACCTTCCGATCTGGTGATTTCTTGGACCACAAAATGGAGCAACGTGGTCTTCCCGTCAGCACCCTTTACGTCCACGAGCTTTAAAAGGGTATCGAGTTTGAAGGCTTTTGCATCTCCGCGATTAGTTCCCACGTTCATTCTGTTTCCTGCTCTCAGAACAGCCTCCAGGAGTTTGAGGAATAGCCTGCTGTTCTTTAGCTCCTTGCTTGCATCCTGAAAAGCATGAAATACACCGGGACGAATTTAGACTTGAGTAGAAAAGACTTTTTTGCATGATGGAAAACGTGGAATCGGAGGAATACCTCTAGTATCTGGAAAGAGTTCCTCAGATATTTCACCTCCGCATCGAAGTTGGCCCTATACAACATTGATTCGACCCTTTTGAAGGCAAAGGGTATATCGAGAATGGTTTTAAGGAACTTTTCAGCCGTTCCTAGTTTCGAAGCATCACCAGAGTAATCTCGAAGTTTTATCTCTTCCTCTTTGGTCGGAGCCATCTTCACCAATGTTTCTAAAAGCTCGACACCTAAGCTATCGGCATTACCTGTTACAACATCACCATTGGGATAATCAAGAAACATGCCGACACAAACTAGAGGTCCAGGTCAAGATATCTGTAAAACTCTCGGGGAACAAAAACATCATCCCAGAATGATGCATGCGAGATCACTGCTCAATGGCATATTTTTAAGGTTGTCTATTAGACATTTTTCCCATAAAATTACAGAACAGACTCTTCTTCCTATCAATGGGTTGTATCCTAAATCTTGTTAGCAAAAGAGATCGCCCATGACCCAAGAAACCAGCTGATTGAAATGACCAGAGGCGCTCACTAACCCTGAGATATAATAGATCTTTCACTAACTCAAGAACAGGTTCTGATCGCATTTAGGATTCCCGGAATATACAAATGAAATGTTATTCCACTCTATGATAAACCCAGAGAGAGAGAGAGAAAATCACATACCATCCAGCAAGGCTTCGGACACCTCTTCCCGCGTTACATTCAGAGCTCTGAGAAGAATGGCAATGTTCTGTGACTTCTTGGGATCTAATACTCTGTTCTCATTCTCAACCGCGGGCAACACCGATCTTCGTACGCTTTCTTTCGGCGCTGAATTTGCCGAGTTGCAACCAAATAGATGTTCCATCCTATCCTCGTTCAATCTGTGTCATACGGTAAGGTTAAAACGCTGTTGAAAAACACCAAAAATTCAAGGGCATTGTATACAGCCTGGTAGAAAGAAAGGTGTGATACTCACTGAAATGAGCTTGACTTGAGCTGGTCCCAGACCGTCGCTCGATCCGAGCTCGCACGCACTTTGTCCCAGTGGAGAGGCTTTAACCTCGGTCTCCCCGAGTCAGTTTCTGTATCTCCAGTCTTTTCCGATGAACCACCTGATTTACTATTAACCTCTTCGACTGGCTTGGATTTGGGACTAGGGGTCCTGAACTCCTGTTTCTTCAAAGGTTCTGACGTTGTCGAAGTTATCTGGAAATCTGCCGGCCTCTTTTGAAGAGTAGTAGGCGGTGGAGGCGGTGGCGGCGGCGGCGGAGGAGGAGGAGGAGGAGGCGGCGGTGGATGAGGAAGGGCTCCAGCCCTGAGAGGGGGCCTACCCTGGTTTATTTCTTGAAGCGTCGCCCTATTCGGTGGCGGAGGTGGCGGCGAAAACTTAGGCCTGCTCGACGAATAGGGAAGGTCTTGCCTATTATTTTCCGGTTGTCGTTGCGGCGGTGGCGGCAACTGTAGAGGTGATTTCTGCTTTATCGATGGAATGATGACGTGTTTCATCTCCGGCGACGACAAAGCAGCTGTTCCGGCCGTCGCGCCTCCTGTTGCTAACCACGACCTAGGAGAGGTTCTTTTCGACTGAGGAACCGAGCCGACAGAATGGCCATTGCTGTTGGCGGAGCGAGCAAATGGCGTGTAGTAACCGTCATCGCTACTGATCGTGGATCCGTGCGGCGTGTAAAACGCAGTGCCGCGGCTCTCCTCGTCGGAAGATGAATGTGACGGAGATAGAGACGTAGCCGACGGAGAATTCGCAGACGGTGTAGGCTTGGCTAATGGCGGAAGTGGCTGAAGCTCCGGACTCGGCCGATACCGATCTGATCGCTTCACCGAATTCAGCTTCCGGTACGGCGACGCATTGACCGTTCCGTTGCTTCCGCCATTCGACTCCCCAGCCGATAATCGGCTCGGCTCAACTGTTCCTATATAGAGAAAACTCGACGTCGGTGGTATCGGATCTTCCTGAAACCTATGTGAACCGCCATCAACGCCTCCATTGACGAGCTTCTGAGTGTCGCTAGCGTGCTTCACTTTGTGTCGGTACAAGAAAAAAGCCAGAGCAGAGAGCATACCGAGCGTGACAACCCCAACGGATATGGCGATCGCTACTTTCTTCCCTGATTTCGCCGGCTCAGCAGCTGCCGGAATCGGCAATCCGCCATCGGAAGCAACGGAAGCTGGCGGGGGGGGGGGTGGAGGAGATTGGCTCTGGTAAGGCGTGGACGGTACCTCCGGAAAGAAAGGGTGGTCGGGGACGTCGGGAGTCGCCGGAGTAGATGGCTGCGACTCGGAAGCCGGCGGCGGAATAGAAGTCCCCGGAAAAAGGGGCTGATGCAGAATTCTCCGGTGAGCCTCCGCAACTTCAGTACCAAATCGGAATGCCTTGACACCTCCGCTTCCAGCTACAAAAATGGGGAAGGATAACGGCAATAGAAAGATGGAGAAGAGGGAGAGGGAGACGAAGCGGCTGGGGCGAGGGGCTCTCATGGCGAATCTTGATTAACCGCTCCACAAATTTTCTCTCTCTCTAAATTCATCTTCTTCGTGCTTTTTTTTTCTTCTTTGTTTTCGCCTGACGTTGCTTTTCTTTTTATTCGTCTTGCGTGGGAAGATAATAAACAAATGTTTGGGGAAATCGGGCCGATGACGCTGACGTCAGCAGTTTCCGGCTTCCGTGGCTCTTAATTGCCACTTAATTATTTGGAAATTCACGCCGTTCTCATCAGTTTTACCAAAAAAAAATTACTCATTTAAATCCTTATATGAAATGCAATATTTTATTTCAATTGCAAAAAATACTCCCTCCATTTAATTTTATAATAATTTTTGTTTAAAAATAAATAACGTTTAAGATTTTTCATGAACCTTTCTATATTTTTCCAAATTTACCCTTTATTAATAATACTTAAATACTTTAAGATAATAATTCTCAACACAAGGGTATTTTAGACAAATGAAGGGAGTATATGGTAAAATTATATGGAGGGAGTATATGGTAAAATTTTATCCTTTTTATTTCATAAATGCTGCGAATTATATACCGATTGAAATGGACAAGCTACAAAATCATGTCGATTATTTTTGCAATTACTGTATATAATAAAGTTTAGTGTATTGCCTATAGTGTAGACACGCACTTTCGAAGAAACAACCAAAGCCCGAATTATACGTTTGCAAAATGACATGAACAAACAGTAAGAGACAACCTTATCCCCAGCTTTGGAGATTTCGACCCATGCAAATGAATGCGTTCTTGGTTATATTTCATACAATTTCTGTTGATAATGACAATATTCAAGATTCCATTATGCAAATAAATAATAGTAATGTTTTTTCTTCCTTTTATGTCGGCATGAGGCTTGTCACGTTATGTTTGAAGAAATCTACTGTTACTTATATTAGAGGGAAAAAAAATCCCTTGTAATTAAACAACTTCACGCTCGAAAACTTCGCAATCAACTTTAATGACACGAAATATATTGGACTCTTCGCCCAGCGATATCAAAGAAGAACGAACGCCACGTGTTGTGCCACTCGGAAAGACGGATATGCCCTTACATATATATACACACACACACACACATATATATGTAATATACATGAGACGCAAATCACTTGGGGTTGATATTCGTTTGGTTTGATTCTCGTTGGTCGAAACGCACCCACGAAAGGCTATTTTATTGTTTTAGGCAAAAATGTTTTTTAATATTTTTTAAAAAAGGTAATTTCCATGTTTTGATGTTAGAATAAGTATATTATACAAGGAAGTCCCTGTGTTTTTAAGGACATAATTCAAAATTTTATTTGTAGTTCTATAATTGCCTGTGAGTGAATTTTTTTTTTTTTTACATAAAATAGTCTTAAATGTATAATGATAACGACAAATTTATAACAAATTTTGTTTATGAATATATTAGTTAGAAAGAAACCTAAATGAAAACGATACATGTAGTTTTGGAATAAAGCGGGATGAAAAAGGGTAAACTAAACACCAGCTTTTCCTTTTTTTATCTTTTTAATTTTTAGAGGAGTGAGGAAGTGCGAGTTATGATCCGCTGACTCGCAGTCTACCGTACGATACTACGGCAGCAATCTCACAGCGGCACACACGCTACATCGCATTCACACGATACACTCCGACAATAGAAAGATCAACAGCATTATAACAAATATTCTTTCATACCAAGTCATATTTATTTTTGCTTTTCTTCCGGTCCACGTAATCATTAACGCCTCACAACAATTATATTTTTCGGAAAGTTCAAAATAATAATTTTATTTTATCCATTGTTTAATGTGATCCATATCCCATAGACTATAGTATAAATTAATATAGAAAACAAAAAAAAAATCAAATTGTACATATCTTATATTTTGTGATTTAATTAACAAAAAAAAAAGGAAAAGAAAATAGCAGCAGAATTGAGGAGGGACAATAGGTCGTATGGGCCATTGTTGTGGGATCCAAATCTTTGACTGTAACAGATATATATAAAAAGGAAAATACCATAATCTTTTCCATTTTGTTTATGTAATTAAAAACAATAAGCGAGGCGTAATCATGATTAAGTGTTGGAGAAATCTGTGTTAGGGTTGTCATAATCATGAAAGGATTATTCAAAACTTTCAAAGCAATTAAAGAATCCCACTTCACCATATTATCATGCACTCAGAGTCCACATGAAAATACTTGCAAACATTATTTATATTTCGCATGAAAGCGTAAAAGGGTCCCATTGCGGAAAGGAAATTACTATGTGAATGATTGGGTTTGGTATTCGAATCTCACCATATCTAATCATTTTGATTGAAATGCATAACGACGATTCCCGATTTGAAATGGGCCAACACGTAAGCCCAATAACTTCCGAAATCGAAATGGACCCCACATATTTCCTGGGATATGGGGGCCCATGACATTTGTTCCTGTCAATGTTTATTTTTCCGCGAAGAAAAAACAAAGAATTGTTTTTAAAAAAAAAGGCAACACAGAAAGAAAAAGAGATGTACGGAAGCCACTCTAATATCAGAGCCTGGTTTCGATCCAGGGACCTGTGGGTTATGGGCCCACCACGCTTCCGCTGCGCCACTCTGATTTTGTTGAGAATTTTAATATTATATCTTTATTTATCCTGTAATATTTGACTTGGGCTTTCTCCTAAATGGGCTAACATAGGTCCATGAGATCCTGCTTTGATTTTGATGCTTCGTTGGAGCCGACACTTCATCATATTCACACAAATTCCTATTTTTAATTCCTTCGACATATTTTCTTCACTTTTTGTACTTTGAATTGTTTACAAATCATTAATCATTCGAACGGTTTGTAGTTGACTATAATGTTAACCCTAGGTCAATAATGGTTGTAATTTGATAGACCGCAAAAAACCCGACCTTCTTAAAAAAAAAAGACTTTTTAATAACCAAATACAGATTAATATACAATTTTCGCCATAATTAAACATGTTGTGGTTGGAGTGCGATGGACAATTTTTACACAGTTTTATATATATTTTGAGCAATTGTTATTAATTTTAAAAAATATATACTTCCAGTAAATAACACATCAAATTAATATACATAATACATCCAACAAAGAATCTTTGTATATTTTCCAACAAAGAAGGTCGACCCGATTATCCCCTTCTGCTTCATTATACTTTTTTTTCTTTTTGATAATGTTTTTTTAATTAAAAAAAATGAAAGTTAGAGAAATGACGGACACTGTTTGAGACGGTGATGTGGTTAGCGGTCACCGTCGAGTCTCCTCTTCAAGTCTCCGCCAAATTCCAACCAATGATAAGACGCCACGTTGCTCAACTGAGGGAGTCCAGTTGGTGCAGCGGCCAATGGTGTTGCGCCAACTCAGCGTAGACCTAAGCGTCACAGGCTAACAAGATTCTCCCACAGAGTGGCCGAACCCTTTTTTAGAAGCCAATTGCCCAGAGTATCATTTTTCACTTTTATTATAATCATTAATATAATCACGATTTTAATTTTATGTATTAATAGAATATAATAAATTATAAGTAACGTGTGTGTGTCAATGATGCAAGTATTTGAAATGGTTCTACTTATGATCATAACACATGGCTATAATTGGTAAAAAACTTGATGATTAAGAAGGATCATAACTTGTAATTTGAAATGCTTAATATGCGCTATATAGTAACTTATGAGTAAAGACTTTGATCATATTTTCAAGTGGGCTGCATTGACATTGACATGGTAAACAATTTCTATTATATGCATTATTATATATTCCGCCGTAATATTAAAAAAAAAACAAATAAAAAATAGAGAGATTATAGAAGAAAGGGTTGAAGAAATCACAGTGGAGCGCCACTTGAACACTTAATTAGAGACCACGTTCCATTCCCACAGACGGGAACCAAAATATCCCTTTGAAAATTTCCTCGACTAATTTTTATTACAACACAAGACGTGCTCCCACACATACACATACACACACACACAGCTCACTCCACTCTTCGTCCTCCTCCGTATCTCTCTATATACACGCAAATCTCTCGATTCCATCTCAGAAAGCTATGGCCCTAGACACCCTCAATTCTCCGACGTCCGCCGCCGCCGCCGCGGCTGCTCCCCCGCTTCTCCGCCGCCGCGACGACCCAGAGGCGGAGGATCTAGAGCCGTGGACAAAGAGGAAACGCACGAAACGACAGAGTCTGGAACATCCGGATCCAACCAATAACCCGCCTTCCGAGGAAGAGTATCTTGCGCTCTGTCTCCTCATGCTCGCTCGTGGCTCCCCCCCCGACACGTGTCCTCCTCCGCCTCAAGTGTACGGTCTGTGGGAAGACGTTCCCCTCTTATCAGGCCTTAGGCGGTCACAAGACCAGTCATCGCAAACCCACGTGTCAAACCGCTCCTGGAACCGAAGACCGGTCTAACGGTAACAGTAACGGTATCAGCAACAGCAGCAACATTACGGTCGGCGGTGGTCAGAGTGGACGGACTCATACGTGTTCGATATGTTTCAAGACTTTTCCGTCGGGTCAAGCTTTGGGTGGACACAAGCGTTGCCATTACGACGGCAGTAACGTTAACGTTAACGTTAACGGTATCAGCAATAACGGCAACGGCGTTGACGTGGTCAGCGGCGAAGTCGATGGGGATGAGAGATGGTCATCGGAAGGGGACAAAGAAGAATTGACCGCGAGCCACCGTGTCTTTGATCTGAATTTGCCGGCGGATCAATATTTGGAGGCGGCGGAGAAGGTTTTTACCGGCGAAGATCCACTTGGAAAAAGTCAACTCTCCGGCAAAGAGGTTCGCCATGGACACTGAAGATAATTATATGGTTGTTGGAGCTTTTGTAATGAAAATGATGGGAGTGGACTTGGATTATCTTATAGATATAATATTTTTAAAATAATTGATATTCCAAAGAGAAAAATATTTTTTTAGGCATATAAAATTGTTTTGGTCATGTTATTAAAGTACAAGTATATCAGTTAGTAGTGTATATAAACCAGTTACCTTCCTTCCCCACTACTGTCTGGTGTCTATTCAATAATATTAAACCTGGCATGTGGTTATGTTGCCGATGTATAGAGCTTCAAAATACCTAATTGTTTATTGGGTTTTTTTTTTTGCTGAACTATTTCATAACGCAATGGGTCGACTTCATTGGGCTTTTATATACTAATGGGACAAACAAATCAAACCACCGATTGCACTTTGTCCGGCCTCTCCTGCATCCATGGCCTATGTTGTTTTTTTCGTACAAATTTATATTGTCAGCATTACACAGAAATGATAAACTTGGGATATCTATAAATAGATTGTTTCATCATATCCATGACCCATTAGAAAAGTATATAATTGAAATTATTTGTAAAGACTAATTAGATACGAAAACATCAAAATTTAACCAACATTTGTTTGTAGCATACATGAAATTTATGATTCCACGTGCATCATCTCCAAGAACTCCATAGACCACGGAGCATTTTTGACATCGAGTGATATCTACTCCACGCATCGTTAAAGATGGAAAGTTTACGGCATTATCCAACGGTTGAGGAGCCACGGCTGCACCCATCACCTTGGAATCTCTCTCTCTCTCTCTCCAGTCGACATTATTACATATTTCACTTGGAAAAAAAACACCACTAACAGTACAGTCAACATAAATTAAACTCTGTTATGTCTTGTCCCATTGGGGTCAGTATGAACCATAATTTTGTACAGCCGAGAATTTGGAGGGTACTTCAATTTGATTTTCTTTTTATTTAAAAAAAACGAATTATACGACGGTGGCTAGCGTCACGCCGTATATGTGTTTGTTCTAACGTATTTATTATCCAAAATATAAATAAATAAAAGGCAACATGACTAATTCTTTTTTTTTACTCAAATATGGTTTGTTTGTTTATGTGTATATTTATACGTGGGTTGCGCCATCTTCCAAACATTGAATATCTTCTCCTAATTTATCGCAATCTCGCTCTCTCTCTCCAAAGATCTCTTTCTTGCTCCCAAAGCCAACTTACTCACCTCTTCTTCTTTTTCATGTGAACCTCCCGACAACAGACAGAAGCGTGAGATCTTCGAACATGAGTTGCAATGGTTGTCGTGTTCTGCGGAAAGGCTGCAGCGAGAACTGCGTCCTCCGACCGTGTCTTCAGTGGATCAAGACGGCCGACGCTCAGGGCCACGCCACCGTCTTCGTCGCCAAGTTCTTCGGCCGCGCTGGTCTCATGTCCTTCATCTCCGCCGTGCCGGAATCCCAACGGCCTGGTAACTAACTCCCCAGATCTCTGACCGTCTTTTTCACGAGGTCGTTATCCGTCACTGATTTTGAATTATTCTCCGTTACGCAGCTCTGTTTCAGTCTTTGCTCTACGAAGCTTGCGGTAGAACTGTGAATCCGGTGAACGGCGCCGTCGGGCTGTTGTGGACTGGGAATTGGCAAATCTGCCAGCAAGCGGTTGACACCGTGCTCCGCGGTGGTTCGTTGCGGCCGATTCCGGAGCTTCTCACACGCGCCGGCGGTTTCGAAGGTTTTCCGTCGCAGAATTCCGACGAAGCATCCGAGATCTGCACGGAGATGTTGAATCTCCGGCAGGATAGCGACGGAGACCGGAATAATTATCATCACTGCCGATTCTCAAGCTCTAGATCCAGATCAACGGCGTCTCCGCCGAAACGGAAGCGTTTGGAATCAGAGCAACCGTCATCGGGTCTGGATCTCTCTCTCATCCCAAATCTTCCGGTGGCGTGCAAAGAAGAGACACGGCGACCGGAAACGTCATCGATGAACTCTGAAGAGTCCGTGACGACAACCACGACGTCTTCGTTCCGGGGAAACACGGCGGATGAACGGTACGGACACGGCGGAGGAGAAACCGCGAAGTTGCTCAAACTTTTTGTTTGAACGGCGTCGTTTTTCTAGCTTTATCGTCTGATAACTGTAATTTTAATTTTTTTTTCCTCCCCTTCCGTGGATAATTTTAACATTTCACTCCGCCTTGTCTTTTTTTTTTTTGTAAATTAGCGGCGAGTTACACAAAGTAAATCAGTAACAATAATAATGAGTCGGTTTTATTTAATTTCAAAATTTTCTTCAGAAACATTTACGTTATCAACCATCGTATTTGTTTGAACTGATAACCAACGAGGGGATGAAGTCATCATACATACACTTCCATGGGGCAGCGATTCCTCGCGTACGCAATAGTTGCCTTTTTTATTATAATTGTTTTTTTAAATAAAAAAAAAACAAACAGCTTGTGCAGTGTGATATATTAATTTAATATATTGGTACTTATCTTTGTAATGGCCGACATTAATTCCAAGGGTCGCATTACTCGCTTAATCCATCCCCTTAATATTCGTGGTTAAATTTTTGTATACGAACATGTATATATACATATATCATATTACATTTCTAGCCTCTCGGTTATCCCATATTCAGCGAGCATTAAAATGATATGATAGATCCGCATCACTGAAATTGAGGAACCAATAAAATTACTTGCAACGACATACATACATACATACATACATACATACATACATATATACATACATGCATACATGCATACATACAATCTATGAAATGCATGTGGTTGGTTTGCATTGCGCACAGCTTGGAAGGCAAGCGGCTTTTGGGCAACGGGAAGAGCCGTTTCTTCTTCATGGAATCTTCAAAAGCAAGCACGCCGCTTTTTGTTGCAATTAAAAATGAATTATTATTGCAAAATAATAATATACAACTTTAACAAAAAAAAATATACAAGTTTTTTTTACTCTCTACATTTTTTTTTCAAACATGGCCTTTTCAATGAGTTTTTATGTCTGTGTTATTATATTCGCATATACGTACACATATACAGATGGGTGATGATAAAAATAAAATAAAATTGTGGGGCTTGGTAGATATTATATGGTGGGACCCATGAGAAGCATTATCCTTTTTCGGCCAACCATAGAATGGCAAGCAAAAGGATGTGGTCCACGTCAGCCTCACCACCTTATTAATTGGCTTTCTGTCCAATCACAATTTTTCACCTATCCACAACAAAACGTCTTTTATTTAAAAAAAAAAGAAATTTATTAGCCACACAATTTTCAATTAAATATATTGAAAATAAACAAAATTTTCCATCTTTTTTTTTTAATTACAGCGGATCCGAAGTTTCTGGGATTGGCTTAGCAAATCTGCTTGTAAGCGTTGTCTCATTCTTTTTTAGATTAATGTGAATACATGGAAGGTTTAATTTTGTGGAAAATATTAATATATTCTTTATGTTTTTTAGAAACACATGAACTGTTTAAGTTTTCTTTCGGTCCATCAATTATCTAATCCACATAACATACTTTTTTTATACGAAATGAAAATAAGATTTTGACAAAAAAAAAAAAAAGAGAGGAAGAAATGGATAAAAGCGACGAGTCGAGTCGCCGCAGTTTTGAGGTGGGGCCCATTTACCGTCACCACCAACTTCTTGGATCTTGGAAGCCCACTTGCCTCCTCGAGACATTTCATTTCAAATTCGTCAATAAACCAATGATGATTAAAAAAAAAATACATATATGATATTATATAATGCGCAGGAAATGCTTAATTTAGATCGAATTTGTTTTTTAATCATCATAGTCAAGCAACCCATGTTTCATTATTATAGCTTTCTAATTTGCCTTTTTTATATTTATATTTTATTTTGGGTTCACTAAGTGTCCCCAAACAAATTTTTGCTTATTAACACTTTACACGCATAGTTTACATATACGCAATTGTGTTTGTGCACTTCATATAACTTTTCTATTGAATTTTCCAAGCTTGTTGGTGCGGATATAGCTACCTATTCTATATAATTAAATTATTTAATCTTTTGATTATTTTTTTCCAAATTAATATATACATATATATATATATATATGACTAATTCCCACGACTTTGCAGAATGTACTAATACCTAATCTATAAAATAAGGTTGGCAACGCTAATTAAGCAAGGGGTCCCAACCCTAAAGGGTGTGATAGGGTCCAGGGATGACGTGGACCATCCAAATCTTAAACTTATTATCAGCATACGGTCTTAAAATATTTAAAACCTAAATAAAAGTTATTGATTGATTTAAACTTTCAATCTCGTCATTAACATGGTTATTGGTCATTGATCTGTCCACACCTATAATGTTGGACAGAAAAATTCATAGATGTTATATATATATATATATATATATATATATATATATATATATATGTGTGTGTGTGTGTGTGTATAATAGGATTAGCTTTTTTTAAAAAAAATGGATTTGGTAATTAGCGTGAAATGATATAAGACAAGTTAATGTTGCTTTTGCCCTTAATGACAGCCATTAAGGTTGTTTGTGAAGCTTCATCCTCGGAGGGTCCAAGAGGCAATATGACCCTTCAACGTTTTTAGTAGTCGTAACCTTCCGCTCCTAATCCACCATATTCCACACGCAAACGTCAGCCGTATATGTATATGCACACACGACAAATCAAGAACTACTTGAGTTGTCGTTTATGGATTCCTTCATGTCGGATTTGATTTAACGTCACATATATCTCTAATTAAGATTTGATAATCCCATCCCATGGGATGATTCATATCTATATCTATACATCTATCTTATCTATATATATATATGTATATATAAAAGCACATGGTATTATAAATCGGGAAAGGTCATGTAAATGTAATAACATTAAATATGTTAGAATCTCCTATTAGATTAGAAATCCGTATTAAACCCCAAACATATTTACAAATTCTAACATAATTTAAAGCATATGTGTTATTTGCAAATTAGCAGATAATTTGAAGAAAAAAAATTACCGAAATATAAATATTGCAAATATTATTTGCAAAGAACATATATGCGGCTTTAACGGTATGCAAGTGGTCAGTTTTATGCGAGTACTTCGTCATGTATAATAAAATATAAGAATTTTCCACAAAATTGAGAATAGACGATGTGTAAGTGCTCTTTACGTTTGATGCTTGACTTAAAGAGTGTAACATTATTATTATTATAGATATACTTAGTGTAATCTGTGTCATAACAAACTAAATAAAATATTATAATTAATATAATGACAATATGATTACAAATCCAAAAAATGGGGTGATCTATTAAGAGGTGGCTAGCGTAATTACTAATTATATATATGTATCAGAGAGTCGAGAATGTTCCAACAGAGGGTATTTTAGTAAATCAACGGAGAAAGAGATAGAGAGAGGGGTTACTCAGGAGTTGCGGAGTCGTAGGATCGAGTCACGTGCCATTCACGTGACTGGTTTCCTGAATCGCGGGAACATTTTCTTGGGTCCCACACGGACAATTGTTTGACTTGGCGGTCACACTCGTATATAGTATGTACACACCAATGCCATCTAATACGTTGAAGGGCCATATTAGGTGTGGCCCAAAAACAGAAGCCCATATAATGGGCTTTTATATTTAGACCCACATTTTATAAATATGGGCCATCCACTAACTTCCCTCTAAGGAGGCCCAGAAACACTCGTTCCTCTTTCCTCGTACGAATTTCCCACGTGGTAAAATTTAATTTGTGAACTTCATTAGGATGTGTAAAAGGGTACATGACTGATTCTATAACAAATTTTTTTTTTTTTTTTTTTTAAAAAAAGGGAATTTTATAGATTCGAGATGTCACACATTGGCCATCATAATTGCTGTTAGTGCCCTTATAATTGAAATAAATCATTTGTTTATTTTCTATTACTAATAAATTAAAGTGGCGATTAATGAATTGGGAAACCCGAGATTCAGGAATTAGTGATCCTTGATTTTCTCGACGTCACACTCTTCCTCTTCTCAAAGTACTAAACAATGACGGTCGCATTCATAAATATAATACATATATGTATTATGTATATATAATCATGCTTTGATTATTATATAAGTTTTTTTAATTATTGAATTATTTTTATCCCACTTTATGATTAGATTAGACAAGTGTGAACGCACACGCACTCCCTATGGAGGAGACAAAACATGACTGCTACGAGCATGACTCTCTGTTCATATGTCTTCCTTCACATTTTGCAAAGTTTACGAACTACGGTTCATAATATAATGTCCCTTATAATAGTTACCGTTTTGTCCTAACTTAATGTGGGATGTGCACAAAATCTACTTCACGTTCAATATTCAAGTTGCGTATTAAAATAATGTAGCGAAAAAGCATATTTTATGAGGTCCAAATAGCATTTATTCCATTCTATCCACTCCACTTCATATCTTATATCTGCGACCATATTATATAAGTGAATATACCAACTTTGACATTTCCACTATACTTTAGCAATATATCCGTTCACTCATAAACTTATTTTTTTATAGCGGAGAACCTCTAAATGCTATTCTTTGAATGCGCTCCTCACTATGTAAACATTTGATCCGAGACCAACTTTTATATATGTGTATTAATTGATTCAAAAATTATATTACTCCCCATCAAAGAGAATCGAACACCCGACTTGAAAGTGGTCACTCATAAACTTATGCTTCATTTAGCAAAACAATATTATGGGTAATAATTTCCGGTGAAGTATAAATCGACCCCTAAGCATTTTGACTTGCGTAAATGATATATTATGGATCCGTTAATGATTCATCAAAATAATATTATACAATAAATGACAACGCAAAATGGCTGACAACAAAGTCGTGTATTATGACTATTATCATAATTTTCCGCTAAAGTGATGTATTAGTTAAAGGATGGAAGAAGAAAAAAATATGCAGACTCGACGTGGATATTTTAATTTGGAAAAGTCGGTCCAAGTATAATTAAAGGGAAACCATGTAATACAATAATTAACATGTAAATAATGTACATTTTTGGTCGTTTGGGGATGGTCCGGTCGGGTGAGATTACGGTGGGATAAGATCCTGTGGACCAGGTTTAGCCTTTGGAATGTTTGAAGCGGCAGCACACCAAAATCTAACGGCTACGATCTCTCCGCCAATGGGACCCACAACGATGCCACCTATTTATTATACGATATTCTGATTCGCTAACCCCTGATTAGTGTGTGATTATCCCCCCATTATCATGCCAAAAGTCTGCTCTCATTATTTATCATATCCACATTTTCGCATTCTTATATTATTCCGTATGTATATTTATTTATTTTAATTTGTTTATGTTGATTTGTTGGTTTGGGTTGCATGTGATTGCAGCTCAGCAAGATATATATATAAGATGTTCCCTTTCCCTGTCATTATTATATCATCATCATGATTATTATGAAGACTTGTATATATCTAAGTCTTTTTTTTTTATAACTAGAATGGTTCCCCGGGCCTTCGACCCGACTACATCCACCCTAGGTCCGGGACCAACCTTTGTATATGGACCATTTTGATCCAGAAATTACATCCCTCCCCATCAGTGGAATCGAACCCATAATCTCGAGGATGACTTTGTCACCTCTCAGCCACTGGACCACCAACTGTTGGGTACACAGTTTTCTAATGCATGAAATATACAATATTGTTTGATATTAATCCATGCGTGGATACACAAGTGTGTGTGTATATATATATATTATAAATTCCAATTTCAGACAAAAAATGGGATGCTTTAATCTAAGCCCATGTATGTTATTCTATTATCGAATTTTTATTATGTGGATGCTGGGTCCAAAATTGAATCTAGTATCTGTCTCGTTTGTGAAATCATCATTTCTTTGTATAAACAAATACGCAGACACCTATATATATATATGGTCACATGCACGCAAATATATACACAGACATAACGTAGATGGAACATGTAAGTGAAGCTTTGCTGGAGCTGTCTGGGGAGGTGGAATATTTTACAGAAACCATTGTAAGGCATTGTTTGGCATGAGCTCCAACAAACTCGTTGGTTTCTGTGATGCGAGATACCTTTATTTATTTATTAAATTAATTCAACTTATAAACAATTATTATATATTATATTTAATTGCATATATGCTGTGTATATAATCATGGCGAATTCCTCTTAGTCTTCTTCATTAGCTGCTTAGCTTAGAAATAAAGCTTACCAGGTTAGTCACGTAATTTTTCGTTCTACAACTAAATTATATTTATTTTTTATGATTTTATCTGTTTATTTGGAATCATATAATGAATTCCTTTGTAAATCAAAATATATTTCGTGTATAGAGTCTTATCGGTTCTATCTATATTATCAACTCAACTTGTCCATTAAATACTTTGTATTAGTCCATTGAAAAGACAACATTGACAATGCGTAACATAATCTGCCGAAACTTTCATTTACGTACTTTATATATATATATATATTGATAGGAAGATATTTTGAGAGCAGAATTAGCATATTGGTGGTTCAAAAAATGCAGAATCTAAATGGACTAGCCGACAAAATGCAAATGTTCTTGTCTCTATCTTGTTCCTGATATTTTTTTTTCATACTATTCATTTTCACAGGTATCTTATAAATCCATATCCCTCTGTAAGGCTGCAAGCTAGAACCAGGGGAGTTCATATATATATATATATTTGTCTGTGGGGGTATTTCTTGCATCTCTGCTGAAATTGATTCTTCAAACATGGAGAAGCTTCTTAATCCGTACGAAAAGGAGTACATGCGGATGGCCATGCTCAAACACGAAGAAACTTTCAAGCAACAGGTATATGGAGGAAGAAACATATATATATATATATATATATATGTATGTATATATGCATATGTATGTGTGTGTAAATTTACTAAATGGGTTTTTTGGTGTTTCAGGTATACGAACTCCATCGGTTATACAAAGTGCAGAAGATTCTGATGAAGAACACGGAAACCAATCCATCAAAGAAGGAATTTCGGAACCAAAATAACATTAGCAACCATAAAAACATCGGTATAGGGTCCATCGGACGCGTGGATGGAGAAGATGCAAGGGCCGAACAAGTTTTGGACTTCGGTGTCGGATCGGACACAGAGATGATAGACGAGAGTGAGATCGAACTGACACTTGGACCCACATGTTACGGTCCATCGAGGAAGAAGAAGTCGTCGTCGTCGGTGTCGGATTCTCGCCGGAGTTTGTCGTCGACGTCGACGACGGGATCTACCAACAATAACAATGGGACAAGTAAAATTATTATCGAAGAACGAACGATGCAGGAGAGGCTGATTAAGCAGCAACCATGGCTTCATGTACTGAGCTTGAATGTTAATTGATGATCATTAACTACTTATTTTCTTGATCTTTAATTTTTTTTCTTCATTGGGTTTTTGGTAGTGTCGTTTCCCTTGTAAATTTAGATTAGTACAATGAAAAAAAAATCCATCATCCTGATCAAATTTTATATAATTATAATTTTGATAAAATCTGGGGTTGATTAATATTCTTAATTTTTGTAATTAGCATTCATGTAGCGTAAGAATATGGAATAATGATAATAGATTGATAGTAATAATAATATCATTATCAACGGAGAAACAATAATGAGTGGAGAAACGGAGGTGAGTTGGTAAGGAACATGGTCAATATAACGAGAGGTTGGAATTTTAACTCCTTGTCATCGTCTGTCAGTTATCTCCCACACGAGTGTGTTGCAGGTTCGTGCACGTGGGAATGAGTTTTTACTCGCTGCGATGTTATCTGATGTCGTTTTCGTCCGGTCCATTGGACTTAGATGCGTTAGTGATATGGCCGGTGTCCGGTCTGAAAGGCTGCAGGTAGATTCCCCTAGTATAGAAAAAAAAAACAATAATGAGAGGGGTGAAAGATAAATTTGAAAATTGGGACAAGAAGAGGCGTGTGGTTGATTCGCTGGCATGTTAGAGCAAACTCCTACTTCTTCCCCTGTTTTGTGGTTTTATCATCTCTCTCTCTTTATATTTTTTATAAAGTGCTCAATAATTCTAAGTAGATGACCCCACGATCTTGTCGGTTTATATAGATTATCAGCTTCCGGTTTGAGATCTTCCAGGTCCATCGTATCTATCCTTTCATGTACACAGTTTTGTCTGTTTGTGTTATACATACATACATACATACATACACGTATGTGGTTATCAGAATGATGTGTTTTTCGACAAGAGAGAGTGTGTGTAATATGCATTATGTGATGTTTTTTTTTATATAGCATTATGTGGTGTTCAAATATAACATGAGATATTTTCATTAGAATTGGTCCAAGACTGGAACTCATGAAGGAAACACAGATATTACCAACTTTACATACAATCAAAACATCATATCCCACATAAAAAAAAGATGCTGAACCAGAGAAAATTCTTTGATTCAGCACAAAAAAAAGGGAAAAAAGGAAGAAGAAGAAACCCAACAAAACAGTGTTTTAAGAGATGGAGTGTCTCCGGTCTTTGGGGGGTTTGGTCCGGCCTCTGGCGTTATGCGGCGAGATGCCAAAAGGATAAAGCCTTCCAAGTTTCTTGGAAACAGAGCTCATGAACGACTTCTTCGGCAATGGCGGCTTCCCCATCGAAACCGCTGAAACCGGCGAGTTGCTATTACTGCTTCCCATTTCAGATTTCTCGTACTCCTTCAGCTTCATCTTCATTTTCAGGAGCTCCAGCTTCAAATCCTGGTTCTCTCTCTTTAGCTTTGACAGCTCTTCGTTATATGAAGTGGGTTTAGGTGGAGGAAGAATGGAAGGTGGCGGATCAGTAGGAATATCCGTCTCTTTCATTACATCACGTATACGTTGTTGCTCATAGTACAGGACCTGAACCACTGTTTGAACCGGAAGACGATCGTTCTGAGCTGCATGAGCACATGCTTCTCTCGATAGCTTCTGGCAATCCATCAAGCTGCAAACTTTCTTCCTCTCCACCTCGCTAATGTTCGGATGCGCCTGCCGGCCCAAGATCATTCATTCAATTCATGTAGTAGGAAGTGTATTGTATTATATTATATCATATTACCTTGAGGTAGATGTCAATGGCCCGATACATCCCGTCTTCGGTCACTCTGGACTGTTCAGGAATTAGTTCAGCCAACCCGATGAATTTCGGGACGTTCACGTTTCTGTCGGAGGCGATTTCCGCCAGATAACTTTCCATGAGCTTTCCGATACGTTCCATATCCGTGGCAATGTCTACGGCATTGTTTCCTTCGACCTCGAACTCGAGATAGTTCATGAGGATGCGTTGAACCGTGTCGATATCGAATAGGGTGTCTCCGGTGAAAGAGTAAGAAGGGATGAGGAGATCATCAAGAACAGCTTGTCCCAATTGCAAGGCCATTCTCTTTTCCAAGTCCAGTCTACAAGCCACCGTCGTTTCCAGGTAGATTGCCGCTCTAAGCAGCATCGACAAAAAGCTCACCGACATCGCGTATCTTTCCCTCGGAAGAAGGCTCACGATCGTTTCAAGAATGACCCTTTTCTCGTGTTCTTGTTTCGGCTCGATCTTCTTCGTCCCTTTCCCGAAAATCTCCTGCATTTGCGCTCAAAGAACCATAGAGTTATGCCCTGGAAAACATTACAGAACAAGATGTGTATATATACCAAATGATATGTTTAGCTTGGAATCTCACCAACCCTCTAAGAGCTTTCTGAGCGTACAGCATAAGGACCGGGCCAAGGCCATACTGCTTGAATCCTCGGGCCATCATCGCGATCAGGACACGTTGAAACGTATCGATCCTTAACACCGTTAAGTCCTCAGCCCACCAATCAACTGCGAGCTGCTTGTTCTGTGACACTGACACCTCGTTGTTTCCACCATTACTCGAGGCCGTACAGCAGAACTGGCTCTCTTGGCAAGCTGCATAAGCGATCGCATCGATGCATCGGCTGACCAGTTTCACTCTCTCGGCCATCGGTAATAAATCCTCCGCCTTGTGAAGAACCGTGATCGAGCTGGATAAGCTTTTGAGGGCCACTTCGTTGAGGTAAGCCTCTGCTCTACCCAGAAGGTTTCCAACAGAGTGTTCCTCTGTCATCTCCAGATACTCAGCCGCGCATCGCAGCATGGCGATGTTCTCTGTGGTTATCTCGAAGTTAATGCCGTAGCAGAACTTGGCTGCCATCTCGAATGCTTCTGCTCCTCCGGGGATTTCATGGATTCCGATTACGCTAATGTCCGATTCGTTATTCGATTCCGACACAAGTTTTCGAATGAACCCAGATTTCGACACAAGCGGAAACTGCAGATTCCGAGGGAAAAAAAATTTAGCATCGATTGAACTTCCATGATAATGAGTCATTAAATAATCAGTATAGTTTGATCCAGAAGCTACCTTGTGAAGTGAAAACGAAGCCTCTCCTACATGAGCGGTGACATCACTTGGGATTTCCTGAGAAGAAATCCTGCAACAGATGAAAAAAAACTTGTAAAGATTCGATTTTTCTTTTCTCCCGAATACTCGATGCTTGATTTATCGTCTTTTTGGTAATGGGTATGCTTGATTTATAGTTCTAAGCAGCAAAAATTTAAAAAAAAAATGACTTGAGAAAAATTTTGTAAGAAGAGATTGAAGACCACCACCATTCGCTGGTTCTCTTCATGGCTGAGGACATAAGCTCCTTCTTTTTTGCGGACATGTTACCAGCACTTGTCCTGCGATTTCTTCTTTCTCAAGAAAATCCACCATGGAAGAACTTCAACAGCTACTTGATACATGATCCATGAAGTTCATATCATCACGACAATGGAGCTCATGAGCATGGTGGCATCACACGGGGTGCCGTATCGCAATAAAAGAGAGGCGAAGAAGAAAATCGACCTAAAAGTTTCTTTTTTTTTAATCTAATAATTGCAATTTCTTTCGCTCAAACGGAAGGAGAGAAACCAAATTCCCCAAAGGATTTCAGGAAGTACCAAAACTAACCCCGACACGGAACAAGCATCTGAGCAGGAGCAGAGGAAAGGGGCTAAGGGTATTTTCGTAATAACTAGATAAGTATAGAAAAGATAGACAGAGATATGCTGTCTAAAGAGTGTGTGGTGTGTTTGGGGTCCGAGATACGTCCTTTTGCATGCCCCCATCCAATCCCAAAAATAATGCATAATATATAATAATTTTAAAAAAATGGGCTAATTCCTGTCCACAAAAGTTCACATCCCTCTCTTCTCCCTTGTCACTCAAATTTCAAGATTAAATTTCGACGTACACTATATATATTATCAAAGTTTTAAATGGATATGTACTTTGAATCATTTTCAAATTTCAATATACTTTAAATGGATTAACCATAAAATATGGTTGATCGTATGGTAAAAATATAATGATTAATATTCAGATATCATAAAAATAATTTTCATTAAAGTCTTTTTTGATGGATAGAGTGATTGTGGTCCCATATGTTATATTCCCTCCATCCATGTCTTTTAAGAAAATCTCCAAGACGATATATTGATCCAAAAAAACTAAAACGCGACCGATATTGATTTAGATAGGATAGTGCTAATGGATCATTTATTAACGTTAACGTTACACAACATGTTAGTTCATGTCATTTCACAATTCGGTTTATTTGTTTAATCTTGACACTTAACGTCATAACCCATGAATGTTTTCACCAAACGAACATTGTTGGAATATTTGATATCATTGAACATTTGTCTATATCTTATAATAAAACTTGATTTATAATTTATTTTTTATATTTAAATAGGTTCACTAGACTTTCAGTCCAATTATATCCATCCAGAATCGGAATACAGTCTTATTACAATTTTAAATTATAACTTTATTTTCCAACGGCCACTTGAATATGAGATTTGGGATATAAGGTCACCTCTTTCCTTCTCAACCAACTATACAACTCCACCTAGATCTATTCCGATTAGGTTTCATAACATATATTTGGTACGTGCATATATATATATATATATATATGTTAATTAAGAAGTCATGGATGGACAGTAGAGAAAATTTAATCAACAACAACAAATTAATGGTCTTTCTTCAACGTAGTTTATGAAAGGAGAAGAAGAGAGGGAGCATAAGTGAGCTGCACATGTTGTTTTTATGGACAGAACATGAATTCTTGTCCCTACCTATCATCCTTTATTACTTGTTCTTCATCTTTGATCATTGAAGTCATCACTCGGTACCCTTTTGATTGGGACTCAACTCATCCTGCCATAAATGGTGTCTCTCTTCCAATTAATTATGAAAAATACTCAACGTCCACGTCTGAATTTTATTTATTTATTATATATCTCAAAAGATTTACATTATTGATATTAAAGTTTATAAGACTGTAGGTTTAGTTGTTATAACAGTAGTTAATGGCCCCATATATACATATAAGCCGTACGTCAGAAGCTGTTTGGTAGAAAATGGACCTTCGACATTTGAATCGACAATACGCTTTTATGGGTGTAAACTTGTGTAAATCTGTAATTTTTACAAACGAAAAAGTAATTAGTAAAAAAAAAGTGTGACTGGGGGTGGTGGGCGTTCATTTATGGGCCCAAATGAGTCCATGTATAGCACTTAGTGGGCCTATTGGCCCAATAAAGATTTGCAGATCGAAGGTTCTCTCGGGCCTTTAATTTTTTTCTATATTTTTTTAAATTATCCGATTTTTTTATTCGTTTCGGTTGCGCAAAAACCACGCGAAAGCCCCAAAAGGAAAAAAATCCGGTGTGGAAGAGCGCAGTGAATGATAGATGCACTTATCTTTTTCTCCTGCTTCTTCCTCTCTTCATCTCTCCGACGTCTTCTGTTAGCGTGCGCCGTCTTGACCCTACGTGCGCCGTTGGTGCACTCTCCTATCCTGCGCTCACCTGTCGTTACCTTCGCCTCCGCCGCATCTGACGTTTCCGGTGGTAAGGTCGATCGCCTCGATACCGATATTCTCGTCGAGATCTCCGGTTCCAGTCGCCGAGCGATGTCGAAAGCTCGTGTTTACACCGATATCAATGTGATGCGTCCCAAGGAGTATTGGGATTATGAGTCTCTTAACGTTCAATGGGGGTAAGATCGTTTCTTTTGGTAACCGGGAAACCCTAGGATTTCGAATAGCAATCGTTACGGTGCAAATATCTTTTTTCTTCTTTGGTTCATAATTTTTTTATGAATTCATCCTTAGAAATGATGCTATAGTCGTATTTGTGTTGTTTATCTTGTTGGACTCTGATTTTTTATTGATGATCGTCATGCGGAAGGCTAATGAAACGAAATGATGATAGATGCATGATTTCTCTTCCACATAGCTCTAATCTAATCGAAGTGATGGCAAGCAATGTAGAAAGTGAGTTCCTAAAGCTGCATTCTGAATTTTGTATCTCAAAGGGTATATTCAATTGGATGTGAATGGGAGGGAAGAAATGAAAAGCTTGTTTCCGCAGTTGTTTGACTTTGATTTTATGCTAACGTGATGGTGCTTCTAATAAAAGTTTCTATCCTATTTTGGTTCTCAGAGATCAAGATGATTACGAGGTTGTCAGGAAGGTCGGGCGTGGGAAATACAGTGAGGTTTTTGAGGGCATAAACGTGAATACCAATGATAAGTGTGTAATCAAGATCCTCAAGCCTGTTAAGAAAAAGAAGGTGATTTTTCTTACATTTCTACAATCAGACTGAACTTAAAGATAGCTAGCAATGGCACATTCAGTGTACCTGCTCTACGTTGTTTGCCACAGTAAATACAACTTAGTCTTAAAATGTAAGGGGAGAAACCCGAATTCCTGTTTCTCTTACGTAACTATATTATCACTGAGACAACATCACTGCTTCTCCATACGGCATTTTTACTTGGCTTCCATTAACGAGGGCTTTTTGAATATTCGCCGTTTATGCTCTTTTGACAGATAAGAAGGGAGATCAAAATACTTCAGAACATCTGTGGTGGGCCAAACATTGTCAAGTTGCTTGATGTTGTCCGAGATCAACACTCAAAAACCCCGAGCTTGATATTTGAGTATGTTAACAACACAGATTTCAAAGTTCTGTATCCTACATTGACCGATTATGACATCCGCTACTACATCTATGAGCTGTTGAAGGTAATTGCTGTATCGGTGTATTTCATTCCTTTTTGGCTTTGGATGTTTGTAATATTTCATGGGGCACTATTAAATATTAACTAAGCTAGGAGAAATCCTTGTAAATTATTACTGTGACTTGTTTCAGGCACTGGACTTCTGCCATTCACAAGGTATAATGCACAGAGATGTCAAGCCACACAATGTCATGATAGACCATGAGCTGCGTAAACTTCGCCTGATAGATTGGGGTCTTGCTGAATTTTATCATCCTGGAAAAGAGTATAACGTTCGTGTGGCCTCAAGGTATGAAAAATCCCTTTGAATCTCATTCTTTTTCTTTGTAGCCTCTGTTTCCCATCTTTCTGAAAATATTAAGCTGGCAGAACATTGGTTTCCTTCTGATTATTATAATGATAAGATATGCAATCCCTGCCAGTAGTGAGGCTAAAAGTTATTTCTTTATGCACCAGATACTTCAAGGGACCCGAACTTCTAGTGGATTTACAGGACTATGACTATTCATTGGACATGTGGAGTCTTGGTTGCATGTTTGCTGGGATGGTGAGTGCTTTATAAGACTTCCTGCATTGGATTGTGGTCATCTGAATTTCCTTTTTCATCGTTTGTATATCATGTTATGGACATTTGATTTGGCATCGTACAGATATTCCGCAAGGAACCATTCTTTTATGGCCATGACAACCAGGATCAGCTTGTCAAAATTGCCAAGGTAAAAAATAGTACTTTACAGTTAGGTTTTGTGAGTTGATGATATATATGCCCATTTTCTTGAGCTGGGAGGATTTTAAAGTCCATTTTGAGCGTTGGTCCGATTATGTCTCAGGTGTTGGGAACTGATGAATTGAATGCATATCTGAACAAGTATCAGTTGGAACTTGATCCTCAACTAGAAGCACTTGTTGGGAGGTACGTGATTTGTTGTTCTATAAAAAAAAAAATTAAAAAATCAGCCTTAGCTTATGGTGCTATGGTGTGGGTTGTGACCATATTTTTTCTGTGGGTTATACACACACAGGCATAGCAGGAAGCCTTGGCCGAAATTCATCAATGCGGACAATCAGCATTTGGTCTCACCTGAGGTTAGCTTTCTTCCTCCTCCTTTTCATCCTTTTTTTTTCTTTACCGCTAACTGCGGAAGTCGTAACGGTTGGTATCATACGGTGAAGGCAATTGATTTCCTGGACAAGCTACTTCGGTATGACCATCAAGATAGACTAACTGCGAAAGAAGCCATGGTAAGTATTAAAAAGACGAGACCCGATTCCATGTAACGCATTTTCTGTAAATTCGGATAAAGGATCGATCCTCGGATTCAGAGGGGATGAAGGGTTTGTGTGCAGAATGTCTGATGTAGTTGAATTTGAATATGTACTTGTTGACAGAGACACCCATATTTTGGGCAAGTGAGGGCAGCAGAGAGCAGCAGAATGCGGATGCAGTAAGTTCAAAAGAGACGCAAAGGCAAAGGCAAGTTTGGTGATAATTTTCACATTTGAGATTTTTTTTAAAAAAAAATTTGCTGAAGAAGTTATGTCAGACTCTGCTTTGTAATGAATTTGGGTGTCATGTGAAGAAGCGTTACTTGGAATATATATTGTGAAATCGTCTACTATGTTAGTGGGTGTAATAAGGATTGGAGTTTAATGATGAAGATAAGGTGGTCTCTTTAAAATGAAAAAAAAAAATAACTTGAGACGAAAAAAACGGTTTCTATTGCAAGTGGACCATGATCAAAATTAAAATCATCGATTTTTTTTTTTTATAAAGATTGTCACTATAATCATAATAATTTTAATACTAGAAAAGCTATGATAATCACTTTTTGCAGTCCGAGTAAGAAATGTACAAATTACAAATGTAGATGTGTCTATAAACTAAATAAATATAATGTTATCCATAAAATATAAATTAAAATAGATATTTTATGGTTTTTTATTGAGGGATAAAAATTGTAAAGAGAAGAAACGCCCACAAAAATTGCGTGCAGGAGAAGAGCGGCCACGTGGCAGGAACAAGACCTCCAGACTTTGCCACAGTTCGGAAGAATCCAAACATCATCCTCTGTCGTTCACTTGGCTTCATCGGCTCTCCTCCACATCATTTTATTTTAACTCCACCAGAATCTTTACGAGACTTGATAATATCCCACGCATCAACGAATTCCATCGTCCGGGAACTAACAATGCTCAGACTAAACCCGAATTACCCCCCGATTCCCAACCCGACAAGGGTCTGTTGCAATAACAAGCTCGGGAGTTACTACGACACATCTTCGACCGTCAAATATGGCGGAAGTGGTCGGAAGCTGGTCCTGAGCGTGTCCGTCAAGGCTCTGGAGGACGAGGGCAGCGGTGGCGGCAGCACCAGCTTCCCCGGTCAGAGCTGGGATCCGAGCTCGGAGATTGAGGTTCCTTCTGAACAAAGACCGGTATATGCTTGGTTTCCTTATCAATGGAAGAAACACAGAAACAAAAAGACATGAGCATTTGTTGCATATTTGACAAAAAAAAGTTACGGGATTTGATTCTTTACCTGTGTGGTTTCAGGTGAACGAGTACTCGTCTTTGAAGGATGGGATTCTGTATTCGTGGGGTGAGTTGGGTCCGAGTCAGTTTTTCCTCCGACTCGGTGGTCTTTGGTTGGTGACCTTCACTGTCCTTGGAGTTCCCATCGCAGCCGCTAGCTTTAATCCTTCTAGAGTGAGTCCCATAACACCAAACCTCTTATCATGAATTTGAAAATACCTTCCTGCAAAAAAAGAAATATACATACAAGGGTTATAACACGGATAATCTACTGTCCTCCTGCAGGAACCTCTAAGATTCATTCTTGCCGCCGGGACAGGAACACTTTTCTTGGTGTCACTGATTGTCTTGAGAATCTACCTGGTACGATCATGACTTGCTTTCTTAAAAGGGTTCTAGCATAATCTTCCGCTGAAGCTGACTAATCTGTTCATTGATCTGCATATTCGAGGGATGGAGTTATGTCGGAGATAGACTCCTGTCAGCAGTTGTGCCGTATGAAGAGAGCGGATGGTATGATGGACAGATGTGGGTGAAGCCACCAGAGGTATAGCATTTCAAGTCATCTGTTATGCTACTTAGAAAAAAGGACATGTGAAAGCATAAGTACACCTAAGTACCACCACTATCCAGTTCCAGAATTCTAGGAGTTGAGACAAGATTATAGCATCTTTGTCCCTGTGAAAAGGATATCAACTCAGATATGCGGCATAAGGTAACTCTATCTAGAAGATGTAGGCAAAGATAAATGATATTTGGTGAAATAAGTAGACATAGTATACCTGGTTAAAAATGCCGGAACCTAGACGAAAGCATACTGCTCATGTGTGTCTAACCAAATCAGTGGATGATCTATCATCCTGAAGCATATAGCAGAAATGTCTCAGAAAGTACACTTGAAATGATTAATTGAATCATCAAGCCCGAAATTTGACTCCCAGAGCAAGAGAGCCAGCCAACTTAACATTTTTTTTCTTATCTGTTAATGACTCCGGCGATTGCGTTTCAGGTGTTGGCTCGTGACAGGTTGTTAGGTTCTTACAAGGTACTCTGATGCAATACATGCATTCTATTTCATAACAATGAATCCAAGTACATAACTAAAATGTTCCCACATTACTCGTTTTAGCTTTAAAATGCAATTTCATGGTCATATGCATAAAGAACTGGAACCAACTGGTGAGAAAGCACAACCAGGATGGTATAAGTTTGTGCCCTTTGCTACAAGACCTCGAGCCACGACAGTGTTTGTGATTAGTCACAGGTTAAAAAATTCAGCGAATTCATGGTTTCAGGTAAAGCCAGTCATCCAGATGCTCAAACAAACTCTAGCTGGGACAGGGGCCTTACTCGTTTCTGCAGCCCTCTTATTCATTTTTGCGACCCCCGTCGAGGATTTCTTCAAAAGCGCTCTATCAGCGAAGGAGAACCTGCCAGAAGTTTCCATTTCAAGAACTGAGAAGAAGTTCAATATAGGGTATTTGTCCTACAACTATAATATGATTCTATGAACCTCATGTTGAGACTCACATCCTCATTCCACAACCTTTTGCAGAAAAGAGAAACTGCTCAGCCTTCCGGTTGATGTAGTGACCGACGATGACCTGGCAGCCGCGGCTGCAGAGGCCGCTGATGGGAGACCCGTCTACTGCAGAGATCGATACTACCGTGCATTGGCTGGTGGACAATACTGCAAATGGGAAGACCTGTTAATGAAATAGTGTGAAGAACATGGCACCGTATAAGACCAATGTATATGCTGTTTTCAGTTTTGATCAGAATGCCTTAGCTCTATATCCTGTGGTGTAATCTCAGAGCCAATTCACTGTTAGGACTCAGACCTTCAATTGTTGTCTATAACAAGAACCTATACTAAATTATATACACAGTAAACAGCTCGAAGCTGAAAATCCAGAATCGCAAATTGTTTTATGCATAAAACGACATCAGATCAAAACAAAGATCGAGGATCAACCCGACAAGAGAAGGAGCGTTGGCTAACAATATCGTCAAAACGAAGAAACGCAATGCTTACCTTACCGTTCCTCGGCTACGAGAAACGAGGAATGCCTCACCGACCAAAGATCATAATTGCCTATGGCGGTAATTGAAGAATTTCTGCAGAATGACGATCTATGTGTTTTACTTCTAGTATCCTTGAAATTCGAAATCTAGCACACGCTACCAAATCAATACCTCAATCAAGGCCGTGAAGTGAAAAATTGAACATTTCCATCGGAATTCAACAAAACCAACACGGCAAAACGACGATAGGGAGAGGAACCACGAGTGAACTACACGTCGTACAGGAAGAGTGAACTCGCTCGGCACTCGGAATGACGATTGTTCTTCTTCCGAGTCCGAACTCGAAACGATATCTCGCTATTTATCATGGGCCAATTTGGGCCAATGAAAATTCTCATCATGGGCTAACACATTCGGCCCAAACATGGCATAGTGATGTGGCTACGCGTAAAATAAAACGGTGTGGGTCGACCATATTCTACGAAATGTATTTTCTTTTTACAAACCTTGGGAGATTAGCGAAAAAATATAATTTCAATTTCAAGTTATATTCTTTTTATAATAAAGTATATAAATATTTTGGCGAAGTATTTTGCAATGATAATTCCATCTTCTGAAAAGGAGAGTGAGGGTGTGGTCCAATAAGAGCCTCGAGAATTTTGTCTCACTCCACATCTTGAGTATAACGAGGTGGACAAAGAGTCAATTTGCAATTATCGCTAGGAGTTCCAAAACGTGGACCAACTTCCAGCTAGGAAAATAAATAACGAAAAATTAAATATGTGACGGACTTTGGTGTGTTTATGTCCGAAATCAATTCACATGGACTTCCTGTCGACTCGTACCATACGGTCCATATGTTGCCACTGCCGCATCATTTCCCCAATTATCAAAGCATGGGTAGTTCGGGTTTTTCAATTCCACTTCTTGGTGTCCTCTCTTTCACGCACATACTATTATGTATAAGTTCCTTAATTTGTTATAACCATAATATATATGATTCCATCGAAATTAAATTATACCTTTTGAGCTACGAAAACATGCGATTATATTACATGCACTATTTTATGGTCCGTTGGGAGAAAAACACGAAGCATTTATTGGAATCCACCGAAGATGTTAGCAAATTGACAAATATAGGGGAAAACCTCCAGATCATCTGGTTGGGAGCATGGGGTGGCGCCCATGAGGTGGAGAATTCGATCTCTCATCGCCGCATTTTCTCTTACCTGCTCGTCTGTCAGTCTCTGAGTTGATTTATCTTTCACGTATGTGTTGTTTGTAGACTTATGTGCGTGAACTTGGAGTTTTCTCAGATCTACTATGAAAGTCCGACCTTGTAGGATAGGGGTTTCCCAATGTTATAAAAAACATTGACAAATGTATATCGATAGCGTGCAATGGCTCACTCGTATACTCTAATCTGATTTCCCATTAAAGAGCGGAGTTCGAGGTGAGACAACAAAAAAATGTTGACCCCATCGATTCCCATGCATCATGCTTGTCTCTTGCATCTCCGTCCAAGATAGAAATCTGGATCCATTTTTTTTTTAAAATTTTTTTTATTTACGTTGTTGTAATAGCGAAAATATTTGCATTAACAAGTAAATTAAAACGTAATTAAACAATTAATTAATCAGGGCACATGGGGACGTATTTGTCAATCTCCATTGTTAATTTGTCAATATCGAACTATAAATCACCTGTCGTTGGCCGTGAAACACCCATTACGGTCCATGTTTCATTATGAAATTTAGCACTAAAAGACATAAACTTGTGACCTCCTCAATTGGTGCAAAATTTTAATATCCATTATTGTTTTTTTTTTCGAAATTAGTTTTTCTTTATGCGGAAGAGATGCCCTTTTTCTCATAGTTGGTTATGAGTAACATCAACATGTCTATGCAGTGCCTTTTAACAGTGGAGGAAAATATCTTATAGCAAAACTTTATCAAGTCTCAAGATCGGACGGTTCGTGTTGATCAAGAATTCTGATGCGAGATAGAGATCTAAATCACGCACACGTCACGCGTGGGCCCACACTCTCACTCTGCCACGGTCCAAATCTGGCCTCGGGGTAGTTCTTCCCTACGGAGCTTCCGTTACTTTGAGTCATGACCCACTAATTATGGATAAATGTATTTATATTTTTCATAAAACATACATTTATGGGCCGTTTCAAAAGTGCTTCCCGTTGCAGATTTTCTAAGAGAAAGAAGGTAATGATGACAGAAACAGAATCTCGAAGCACAAAAACTTGTGCATTGATTGGATTAATAAAAGGCCGCAATTCATGTGAGCAAAGTAAAAAGAAAACAAAATAATAGTCATACAGTCATCACTTTTAGTGCTGGTCACACGCATACACACACACTGTGTATCCTCTCGTGTTCAAACACAATCATTCATGCGAAGGCATCCAAAACTCCACCATCCAAACCCGTTTTCTCACTCTTTCCTCCACTTTCCCTCAGATTCCTAGAAAATAAACTTTTTAATTTTAACCCGCATTAGCTTCCTGTAGTGTATTTAAGCTCAGCCACTCCCCCTTTCTTCATCAGCTATCCCAAACAGAGAGAGATTCCATATTAAAAGATGACGTCTTTTCTCTCTCTCACTGTTCTCACCGTCTTTTCTCTTGTTCTTCATCTGGGCTTCTGCCACGTGTCCTCCGCTCCCGCCGGACATGGCCGCGCTACCTACATCGTTCACATGGCGAGATCCCAGATGCCGGCGAGTTTCGACCGCCATTCCCACTGGTACGACTCGTCTCTCAGATCTGTCTCCGACTCGGCTGAGTTGCTCTACACTTACGACAACGCGATTCACGGGTTCTCCACTCGGTTAACCCCCGAGGAGGCCGACTCGCTAGCGGGTCAACCCGGCGTCATCTCGGTCCTTCCCGAGCTCCGGTACGAGCTCCACACGACCCGTACTCCGCTTTTCCTCGGCCTGGACCACGACGCGGATATGTTCCCGCAAGCTGATTCGGCGAGTGACGTCGTCGTCGGAGTTCTCGACACCGGAATATGGCCGGAGAGCAAGAGCTTCGACGACACCGGGTTCGGTCCCGTGCCGAGTGGGTGGAAAGGCGCGTGCGAAACCGGCACGAACTTCAGCGCGTCGAACTGTAACCGGAAACTCATCGGAGCGAGATTCTTCGCCAGAGGTTACGAGGCGACGATGGGTCCCATCGATGAATCCAAGGAATCTAGATCTGCCAGAGACGACGATGGCCACGGGACCCACACGTCGTCTACGGCCGCC